CAATATATCTCTTATTAATTATCCTGTTTTTCTTATATACATCAATATAATGTTAACTCTATCCCATATTTATCATTAAGGTAGAGCTGCATTCTCTAAATATATTTTGCACTGTTAAATGAATAACTTAAAAAAAACAGAAACCAAGAAAGCAACTTCACTATTACTCACATTAATCTCTGTATTCCTATTAAATACAGGCAACCCCAGAGCTCATGATGGTGGAAGATGCATCTGCCCTGAAAAGCACAGCACAGAACAGACAGCAAAATAAATGATGACACAATCACCATTTCTGAATAGGTTTTCAATTTCATTAACAATGCCTTTTGCTATACAACATACATTCCTAATTGGACAACATTTCAGCCTATTGCTTTTTTAATGTATTTATTCATATATGTCTAATGAAATGAAAGTTGCTCAGTCACGTCCAACTCTTTGTGATCCCATGGACTCTATAGTCCATGGAATTCTCCAGGCCAGAATACTGGAGTGGGTAGCCTTTCCCTTCTCCAGGGGACCTTCCCAACCCAGGGATCGAACCCAGGTCTCCCACATCGCGAGCGGATTCTTTACCGGCTGAGCCACCAGAAGTCCAAGAATACTGGAGTGGGCAGCCCATCCCTTCTCCAGCAGATTTCCCCAACCCAGGAATTGAACCGGGGTCTCCTACACTGCAGGAGGATTTTTTACCAACTGAGCTGTGAGGGAAGCTAATTTCATTATTAAAAACAAATCTAAGCCTATACAAGCATATGATCAATATTGATCACAATCACTACAATAATATGATCTTTGAAAATGTATCACATCTCTTTACAGAAACAATTTCAACAGAAGAACAGACTAATTTTGTTCCCTGTTGGACCTCAGAGTTTCAGACACATATTTTCGCATCACCCATAACTACTTTATCATCAGTCATCATCATTGGTCCATGACTGGATCTATTCCTCTTCATTTGTATGTTTGTACTGATTAAATTATGAATGCATTGATACAAATAAAAATAATACATGGTTCATATAAGCTCTAGGACAAGATCAAGGATATTCCTAACATCAGTTTGCAGAATCATTTTCCACATAGACTAAACCTTTTTAATTAACAGACCTCAATCATGTTAAGTACTGATTAATCAACATAGTACTTCATATTTATCATTAAACTTTTTCATATTTATCATTATTTATCATATTATCATTAAACTTTTTAATGAATATAATACTGTTTAATAATCCTATAAATACTCTTAAACAGATGACCCAGTCCAAGACAATAATGTTGACCATTACTCACCTTGGTCTCACAATCTTGGTAACAACAGAGGCTAAAATCAGCTCCAGCATCTATTCTCAAAAGGATCAAGCAGACAAGATGATAAAAATATTGAGATTTTTCTCTCCATTGATTCAGAGTTTTCACAATTCATTTGCATAGTAATTTAGGCATTTATTAATTTACAGTAATACTTATTTATTTTGCTCTTAATAAATCAAATATCAAAGTTGTAACTTTATCAATAAATGATGATCATCACTATTATTCCCACTCAAAGACATATACACTTGATTATTTTATTTTCCATTCCAATTTATTTCATTAGATTTCTTTATAATACTTACAATGAACAGTGTTTCCTTGTTTCATATGTATTCACTTACATATTTCTTAATCCTGCCATTGATCTCTTAACAATAATAATTTTAGATATTACTGTACACAAAGACTAAGAACATGATCCCCATACATGCCGGGCACATCTCCCTATAGTAGTAGATTTTTTGTGTTGACCTGTGCTGTTCCGCATCAAAGACTCATACCACAAGTCATCATTGTCCATATTTGTCCTCGATACCTTCCTTCACGTCAACACTTTTTACTGATCACCCATTCACTATTAGCAATTTAACAAAATTGCTTCATGGTCACAGAGACTTAAAACAAGGAAGGTCCTTGAGTCTTTCATTTGTCTGTAGGATTACTTCCCACAGAAACTGTCATCAACTGCTCTCAAAGTCTCCTATCCAGATGCATTAATATAATGTTTCTTATTAACCCTACTTTTACTGTTTCACCACGGTTCACAATCACCAATTATTTTCTTGTAGACTGTAAAGAAGACAGTGAAAATCTTACAAAAACTAAAACCACAAAACCAAGAAGAGGTTTGCCTATGGCTCACTTTGCTCTCCTAACCCTTAACACATCAAATGCAACCGCAGAATTCATGACCACGAGGAAGGCGTACATCGGCCCATTGTGGCAAGTCTAAGGAATAGAAGATAACGTAGAGGATAAAAAAGACATTAAGATATTATTTTCATTAGTCTTTGAATTCTATGTTTCATTCAGTCATTTAAATAGGTAGTGAACTGGGATCATTTATACTTTAGTTTCTCCTAAGTAAATGAACAATATCAATCTTGACACTGATACAGATCACAGACACGTGAAATAGAGAACATAAACATTTTACTTATCAATAACTGTATCATTCTTAGCCAAAGAAAAACATCCCTGAACCATGAACTTCCTAATTTACATTTGTTTTTAATGTATATTAATAGAATTTCTTGCCTAACCACATTTCTGTGGTTGAACAAAGTTTCACCAATTTCATCTTTATATTTTATTTCATTGATCCAATTATAAACATAAAAAGAAAATGTATGAACATAAAACAAGATACTTGTACATTGCTGACAGGTGTCTATAGGGTCACCTGGAACAGAGGCAATGGGTATCCATCTGCATTGGACCTCAGAGTTCCAGACACGTATTCATCGAACACGACTCATACACGCACCGAAAAGCCATCATTGATCCAATGTTGTACCTATTTTCTTCATTCACTTCTATGTTGTTTATTGATGAATTCATTAATTCATCAATAATAATTTTAAAACTCAATTATTTGCAAAAAGCAAAGAAAAAAAAAACCCGAAGCTACTATTCTCTGTATAGAATCATTTTCATACCAATGTATCTCTTTCTTTACATCCTTTGTTTTTCTGTTACATGTCAATTCAGTGTTTATCACTGGGCTGCTGTTGGCGATTCTTACTATATGTTACTTTTCAACAATATATTAGATGCCCTGAAAGAAATCACAGAAAGGACATAAGATGTTGACTTTTACTCACAGTGGCCTCTGTACTCCTAACAGAGATGCAAACACAGGGGTCACTATCACGGTACCACTGCTTAAATCAGCTCGAGGGGGTAGGGTCTGTGAAGTACAAAACAGTCAATGACAAAAAAAAAAAAATAGTTTAAGTACAATGCCCATCGATCCTTGATTTCCACATTTCATTTACTCACATATTGAAGTATCTATAAATTATTCATAATGGATCTATTTTTCTCTTAACAAAATGAACAACAGCAAATTTGAGACAAATCTATAATACTGTGACTCTTAATTATCAGTATTGATATAATATTTAGTCAAAGATATAGTGGTGAGCCACTTTTTCCTGACTGAGTTTCAGTATTTTCACTTTTATTAATAGTATTTCTTGCCTCGCCACCTGTTTATAGTTAGACAAGTTTCACCCTTTTTACTTATTATTTCTTTACCTTTTTCTTTACCTATTATTTACATTTCTTTACTGGTTCTAAAATTAATCTCTTAACAATAATAAAGAAAGAAAGTGAAGTCGCTCAGTCAAGTCCAACTCTTTGCGACCCCGTGGACTGTAGCCTGCCAGGCTCCTCTGTCCATGGGATTCTCCAGGCAAGAATACTGGAGTGGGTTGCCATTTCCTTCTTCAGGGGATCTTCCCACCCCAGGGATCCAACCCGGTCTCCCGCATTGCAGGCAGATGCTTTATACTCTGAGCCACCAGGGGAGCATATAAATTGATGAATACAATAGCTGTACTGGGTATATTTCAGCATCTATCTCTAGGATGAACTAAAAGAAATACACTAGGTTTTTGCTGGACCTCAGTATCAGGACATATATTATTCATTATATAGACTCATCTGTTACCAGTCATCATCACTAGCCCAAGAAAACCCTTTTATTTTTCATTCTCATAAACATTTGGGTTTATTTATAAATTTACTACTTTCATTTGCTACACACAAACGAAAAGTAAACTAAAATATCCTCAACATTTATCTCAAAAATCTTTTCCAGAGACTAACTCTGTTTCCAAAACTGACCTCAAAGATATGTTTATAGATTAATAAAGATAATACGTCATGTCAATCTGATACTTAACATGGAATTCTCCCTTCTTTGATTGTTTGAGCAAGCTCCGGGAGTTGGTGATGGACAGGGAAGCGTGGCAAGTTGCAGTGATGGGGTCATGAAAAGTGGAAAACAACTGAGTGACTGAACTACAACTATCCGTAAACAAACCACTCAGACTAAAACGTTGGCTGTTACTTACATGGTCTTAACATACCTACAACACGAGACCGCAGAGTGTGTAACCGTGGAAGATGCTTCCATCCACCTAAGTGCACACATTCTGAGGAGTATAAGGCGAAGGAGATGATAATAAAATGAGGCACTCTTTCCATCATCTGTCTACAGAATATCGTCTCTGCTGTGAATGGACAAGCTTAATCCAACATTGGACCACAGAGTTCCAGACACTCTTTCATTGTATACGATTCATGTTGATGAGGATTCAACATCGGTCCCCCTTTTTCTGCACATATTTCTATATCTTTATTTTGGTTAAATAAAAATCCACTAATAAATTTAGCAAGAACAATTCAAAAATTAAAGCAAAAAGAGCCCAGGTGTCCACTGAAGCATTATTACTTTAATGTATCTTCCTCAACAATACACTGTTTTCCATATATACATTCATCAATACAATAGCTCATATATCCATATTCAACACTCCGATGCAGCTGCCTTCTTTACTTATATTCAAAATTTCTTTACTTATATTCAACAATAATACAGTAAATTACTTCAATAAAAAAAAAACGGAGAACTTCAACTATTACTGACATTAATCTCCACCTTCCCATTATACAGAGGCAACCCCAGAGCTTCTGTCCATGGAAGATGCTAAATCATCTGTACTGGCTTCTTTCTGAGGAGAATAGAACACAGATGATAATAAAAATATTGATACCTAATAACCAGTGGTTCTTGTTTTCTATACTTCATTTACTCAGTATTTAGGAATGTACTACTTTTCCTTTCTGTTCACATTCTTTTAGTCTTGTTAAAAGAAAAAACTCAATCTTTAGTCTGAAGCAAAACTACCAAACTGTCTCTTGTGCATTTCTAGGTCTTCCCTGGTGCCTCAGTCGGTAACCCAGGTTCAACCCCTGGCTCAGGAAGATGCCCTGGGGAAGGAAATGGCAACCCACTGAAGTATTCTTGCCTGGAGAATCCCATGGACAGAAAAGCCTAGTTGGCTACAGTCTATGGGGTCACAAAGAGTCGGACATGACTGAGTGACTAACATTTTCACCTTCATGCATTTCTGTCTAATCTTGGCCAAAGATGTGTTTAATATCATATCTTTTGTCTCACTCAATATGTTCCTATTTGGACAGTGCTTCAATTTGTTGCCTTGTGTTTATTTACATTTGCTTAATGGTTCCTCAGAGATCCACTAATGGTAACAAATTTAAGTCTATGAAATGAAAAGAAGAATATAGCCTACTTATATTCCTAATATATCTCTATAGAAACAATTTCACCAGATGGAAGAGACTACTGATGTTCTGGGTTGGACCTCAGACTTTGAGACATGTTTTCGCCATTTAGGACTCTTCCCATCATGGTCATCACCACTGGTCCATGATTAAGTCTCTTTTCTTTGTTCATTTCTTCATATGTTTCCATTAAATCATTGAATAAGTGATAATGTATGTTAATCATTGAATAAATGATAATAAAAGTACATAATAATGGTTGTTGTGTTGTGTTAGTCACTCTGTTGTGTCTGACTCTTTACAACCCCATGGACTGCAGTCCACCAGGCTCCTCTGTCCATGGGATTCTCCAGGTAAGAATATTGGAGAGGGTTGTCATTTCCTTCTCTATTTAGTCACACTAATAATTTAATAATAATAAAAACAATAATTGTGATAATAAAAATAAGTATCCCAAGAATGAGACCCTTCAATACCCCTAACCTCAGTTTACAGGATCAGTTATCATCAGGAGTCTTTCTCTACCAATTTTTGACCTCTATTCTGCCCATTATCAATTATTTGAAATAATCATTCTTGATTATTTATCATTGAGCTATGGTTAATTTTTTGATTAGCTTAACACTGTTTGACAATACCATGAGGACCCTCAGACAAACCACCCAATCTAAGACAACAACCTTGTCCCTGTTCGCCTTTTTCCTCCCTGTCACAGCTGGTGTGACAGCTGAGCCAACAAAAGCTGAACATCCGACCCACAAAATAACAAACACACAACGTGATAAAACGCCTTAGATATTCTTTCCATTGATCCAAGAATCTGACTATTCGTTTGCAGAGTAACTGAAGCATTCACTAAATTATGCTCACATTCATTTTTCCCCTTAATAAATCAAATGTCAAACTTGTAACTGACTCAGCCAGTAACTAATACCTGTCACTGTCTATATCACCCTAAGGCAAAATACCCTCATAACATATCTTTCCTATTGATTATCAATGTCTTTTCAATATATATATAAAATAGTAATTTTTGCCTAACCACATATTTTTATAATTGAAAAGGCTACATATTCATCACTTTTTATTTTATACATTTGTATATTGATTATTTCAATGATCCACTTATAAAAATAGAAAAAAATGCATGGTGATAATAACCAAAACAAAGATCTTTGTATATTCCTAACCACTGCCTAAAAGGTCACTTCACACAGGTCACTGGACGTGATTTCATTTGCATCAAACCTCAGAGCTCCAGACTCATATTCATCACACACAACTCATACGCCTCAGGGAGTCACCATCAAGCCAATACTGTCCATCTTATTCAAATACATTTCTGTTTAATTTATGAATCACAAATTCACTAATAATTTTATCAGCACAATTTTAAAAAAGATGATATATACAGAATTATTCTTACTTTAACACTTTAATACAAGAATATGATCTCTTTATATTCCTGAAGTCTCACAAAAGAAACAGTTTCTCATTCGAGGGAAAACATTACTTATTTCTGTATCGTAGACCTCAGAGATCTAGCCACGTTTTCATCGTTTAGGACTCTTCCCGAAACGACCATCATCATTGGTCCACAACTGAGACTCCACTCTTTGTTCAATTCTGTTTATTGACTAACTCAGTAATTTATTAGTAATAATTTTAAAACCCTATTATTTACAAAACTCTAGAAAAGTCATGATATTCCTAAGGTGTAAATATATCATTCTTACAACAGTGTATCTCTTTTAAATTAGATACTGTTTTTCACCTTGGCAGTAATCAATTAATGTGTCATAAATTTCAATAGTTATCACTGAGCTAGACTTGGCCTTCTGTTATTCCATATGGAACATTCAGCCAATACACTGAATATACACATACACACTCACACAAACCAACAAAAAGAAATGAACAAAACCGAGACAAAAAAATTGATTATTACTCACATTGGTCTCTGTGGACCTAACACAGAGGTGCAGTTATAAGGTGCACCACCATGGAATAATGCTTAATCAGCATAAATGTGTCCATTTTTGAACAATGCAAAGCACAGTCGATGAGAAAGGGGGGAAAAACATATCGCCATTCATCTTACATTCTACATTTCATTTATCCAATCATTGAGAAATGTACAGCTTTCCCATAATGTACAGATTGTTTTCTCTAGACAGAAAGAACATCCTCATAATTGAGAATGACTCAGATCAATAAAATTGACTCCCAATATTTCAGATCTATCTAAATCAACCTAGACAGCATATTAAAAAGCAGAGACTTACATTGCTGATAAAGGTCCACCTAGTCAAAGCTATGGTTTTTCCATTGGTCATGATGGATGTGAGAATTGGACCGTAAAGAAAGATGAGTGACAAACAATTGATGCTTTTGAACTGTGGTGTTAGAGAAGACTCGAGACCCACTTGGACTGCAAGGAGATGCAACCAGTCCATCCTAAAGGAAATCAGTCCTGGGTGTTCATTGGAAGGGCTGATGCTGAAGCTGAAGCTCCAATAATTTGGCCATCTGATGCGAAGAACTGACTCATTGGAAAAGACCCTGATGCTGGGAAAGATTGAAGGCAGAAGGAGAAGGGTCAACAGAGGATGAGATGGCTGGATGGCATCACCAACTTAATGGACATGAGTTTGAGTCAACTCCGGGAGTTGGTGATGGACAGGGAGACCTAGCGTGCTGCAGTCCATGGGGTTGCAAAGTTGGACACGACTGAGCAACTGAACTGAACTGAATCTTAGCCAAAGGGGTGACATAATTCATTCATAATGGTCATCAGAGTTGGGAATTTTTATTACTATTTCTTTCCTCATGATCTATGTTCATAATTAGACAATAATATATCTGTTCTTCTTCATCTTTTATCTGCATCTTTAATGGTACTCTCAATGGTCTATTAATAATTTTAAAACTCAGTCTTAGAACTTGAACTTTAAACATTCCTAACATATGTGTGCAGGGAAAAATAAACAAAGAAATGGAGTATGGAATGTACTGGGCCTCAAGGTTACAGACCTGTCCATGACTCATCTGCTAACCATCACTGGTACATCTCAGACCCAGTTTTAGTTCATTCATCTATCTATTTATTTCAATTAAATCCTCATTCATTGAAAATAATACATGATTAGTAGAAAAACAAAGAACAAGACACTTGAATACCCCTACTTCTAATTAACATCAAGATAGATTATACCTTTCACTAATAAATATCACTACTATATCTTATCAGTTAATCAATATAAGGTTATACATCATACATATTATTGGGCCATATTAATCTTTTGCTTATATCTATTGCTTTTGAGAATACAATAAAAACACTAAAAACAAGTCCCCAAACCAGACCAGAACCCTGGCCTTTACTCACCTGGTTCTCTGTACCATAGCAACCTGAAGCTCATGACCTTCATCACCATGGAGGCTAAAGTCACCTTGAGCTTCTATTCTGAAAAGTAACAAGCAGAGAAAGTGATCCCAGACATGGAAACAATGGAGAGAACTCCATTGACCTGCAGGCATGTTTATTGATGTTTTTAATGGTTCATTTACCATAACCAATGAAAATGCATGAAGAGAAAGACTACATTTCTTTCATATTGGACCTCAGAGTTCCAGACACATATTATTCATCATCAATGACTCATATGCTGGTATTGATCATCACTGATCTACAAACGATGACTTCCTCTTCATTCGATATTGGCTCTTTGCTACTCCATGGACTGCAGCACACCAGGCATCCCTGTCCATCACCAACTCCCAGAGCCTACTCAAACTCATGTCCATCGAGTCGGTGATGCCATCCAACCATCTCATCCTCTGTCATCCCCTTCTCCTCCTGCCTTCAATCTTTTCCAGCACCAGAGTCTTTTCCAAAGAGTCGGTTCTTTGCATCAGGTGGCCAAAGTATTGGAGCTTCAGCTTCAGCATCAGTCTTCCAATGAATATTCAGGACTGATTTCCTTTAGGATGGACTGGATCTAGGTTGGATCTCCTTGCAGTCCAAGAGACTCTCATCATTATAACTCTCTTAAATTTATTATCAGCTTTTAGCTTCCTATCAGCTCCTTGGTATCACCGGCTCAATGGACATGACTTTGAGCAAGTTCCAGGAGTTGGGGATGGACAGGGAAGCCTGGCATGCTGCAGTCCATGGGGTTGCAAAGAGTCAGACATGACTGAGTGACTGAACTGAACTCTCTGGGATAAAAGTCACCTTCTTTCATTTTTTGTCACCCATGTGATTAGTGCAGTCATTATTTTTAGAGATACCATCCAACCCCAGACTAGGAATGAGATGATGTCCACATAAGTCTCCTGGCTCCTACAACAAAGATGCCATCCTAGGCTGATGCTCCAGAAGGAATCCTTCCTTCAGGTTCCATGCATCCACTCTGAGGGGTATAAAGCAAAATGGACCATCAGTGTGATAGAGACACTCTCCACTGCTTCTTGTTTCCACACTCACAGTGTTATTCAGGCTATCCTTAACTTAGGGTACATAGGAAACCTTTTGACAATGAACCATGTGGATATTACGACTGAACCAGAATATAAAGGTTGACTAGGAGCTTCACAGGCTTCCCTTGTAGCTAAGCTGGTAAAGAGCTGCCTGCTGTGAGGGAGACCTGGGTTCAATCCCTGAGTTGGGAAGATGCCCTGGAGAAGGGAAAGGCTACTCACTCCAGTATCCTGGCCAGGAGAATTCCATGGACTGTATAGTCCATGGGGTCACAGAATTGACATGACTAGGAGCTTCCCAGGCGGCAAAGTGGTAAAGAATCCACTTGCTCGTGTGGGAGACGCAAGAGATGTGGGTTCAATCCCTGGGGTCAGGAAGATCCCCTGGAGTAGGAAATGGTAAACCATTCCAGTATTCTGCCCGGAAAATTCCATGGGAACAAGAGCCTGACAGGTTTTGGTCCATGAGGTCTGAGCATACACCTCTCTGATCATTTATTCTGTCCCCCTCAACCTTAAGCTAAGTGGTAACAGCTGTGTGCCATTCATTAGTAATTGAAATTCAGGGTGTCCTTGGTATATTAACAGTATTTCATGGCTCACCACGTATTTCAGTAATTGGAAATTGCTTCATTTCATCCATCTTTATTTTTAATTATATATTTATGGATTCTCTCATTTTCCAATTATAATAATACAATGAAAATTCATGAGCACAAAGACCACAGATAAGCCCCTCATTTATTCCTGACATCTCTCTATAGGCTGCCTTCTCAAGTTGAGAACGGACGAGATTACCTTAATACTGCATCACTCATGGATCCAACATTGTTCCTATTTTCCTACATTTATTTCTACTTGTATTGATTAAATAAAAATTCAAAAAAAAGTCTTAATATATATACAATAATTCTTACTTAAATATATATCTCTCTTTAATAGATTGTTCTTCACTTATGCTTTAATCAATATAGTGGTTTGTATATATCAATGCTCAACACTGAAAAGCAGCTGCCTCCTTTATTTTTATTCTGTATTTCTTAATAATACAGCAAATTAATTTAATAAAAAAACAGAGACCTTCAACTATCTCTCACATTAATCTCCATGCTCTTATTATACAGAGGAAACAACAGAGCCAATTTGTCCATGGAAGACGCTAAATCATCTAAACTGCCTTCATTCTAAACAGTACAGAACACAGCTGATAAAAACATTGAGACCTAATAACCACTGATCCTTGTTTTCTACATTTTATTTTCTTAGTATTTAGCTATTTATTACTTTTCCTTTGCTATATATTTTTTATCTTGTTGAAAGGAAAAATTCTATAGTCAGAGGCAGAACAATTAAACAATTAAACTGCCTCATGCATTTCTATCTAACCTTGGTCAATGAGGTGAGCCTCAACCATTTATTTTATAGGACTTAGGGACTTCAATGTTCATTATAGTATCTTTTGCCTCACTCGCTATGTTCATCTTTGGACAAAGCTTTACCTTAGTTTTCTTTATGTATATTTACATTTGCTTAATGGTTCCATCATAGATCTACTGATTATAACAAATCAAAGTCTACAAAATCAATGTAAGAATATAACCTACTTATATTCCTGATATCTCTCTAAATAGAAACAATTTCACCAGAAGAAAGACACTATCAATGTTCCGGATTGGACCTCAGAGTTTCAAACATAGTTTTCATTGTTTAGGACTCTCACCATCACAAACATCACTGGTCCAACACTGAGTCTGTTTTCTTCCTTATTTCTGTATGTGTACTGATTAAATCATTGCTTAATTGGCATTAATAAAAATAATATATGATTCACTAAACATCCCAAGAATAAAACCCTTGAATATCCATAACCTTAGTTTACAGAATCATTTCCCAAAAAGGCCCTTTCTCTTCTAATTTTGGACCTCAATCCTGGCCATTACCAATTATTCAAAATAATCTTTCTTATCATATTTATCACTGAACTATGAGTAACTTTTTGATTAACTGAATATTTTTTAAATAATACCGTAAAGATCCTCAGACAAATCACCCAATCCAAGACAACAACCTTGACAAATATTCACCTTAAGTTCCTTCCTGACACACAGGTGGTGTGACCAGCAAGCACAGCAGAAGCTGAGAGAGCAGCAACATCCACCTGCACAATAATCAGCAGCCAAGGTGATAAAAATACTGAGCCGTTCTCTCCATTGATCCAAATATCCTGCTATTTATTTTCATAGTAACCGAGGCATTGACTAACATATAATTAGTAATTGATGAACTCATTGTCAAAGTTGGAACAGACCCAGTCAGTACCTAATACCTGTCACTTTCTATATCATCCTTGACCAAAGAGATGACACCCTAATACTACATCTTTCTCAATGGGTATCAGTATTTTCAATATATATTAATGTATTACTACATCATACTAATTTTTGCCTAACCACATTTTTATAATTGAAAAAGACTTCACATTCATCTTTTTAAAATTTACACATTTTTATATTGACTATTTCATGGATTCAATTATAAAAACAGAAAATACATGGAAGAAAAGTCATAACGAACAGAGAGCATATTAAAAAGCAGAAACATTGCATTGCTGACAAAGGTCCATCTAGTCAAAGCTATTATTTTTCCAGTAGTCACACATGGATGTGAGAGTTGGAGTATAAAGAAAGCTGAGCGCCTAAGAATTGATGTTTTTGAACTGTGGTGTTGGAGAAGACTCTTGAGAGTCTCTTGGACTGCAAGGAGATCCAACTAGTCCATCCTAAAGGAAATCAGTCCTGGGTGTTCATTGGAAGGACTAATGCTGAAGCTGAAGCTCCAACACTTTGGCCACCTGATGCAAAGAACTGACTCACTGGAAAAGACTCTGATGCTGGGAAAGATTGAGGGCATGAAGAGAAGGGGATGACAGAGGATGAGATGGCTGGATGGGATCACTATGGACATGAGTTTGAGTAGGCTCTGGGAGTTGGTGATGGACAGGGAGGCCTGCCGTGCTACAGTCCACATGGTCGCAAAGAGTCAGACATGCCTGAGCGACTGAACTGAACTGAACTAACATGATTATAAAAACCAAAACAAAGATATTTGTAAACTTCTAATCACTGCCTAAAAAGTCATTTCAAATAGAACAACAAGCCTCAGGGCTTCAGACACATATTTACCATACACAACTCATACGCCATGGGTAGTCATCACTGATCCAATATTATCCCTCTTTTTTCTATATGCACTCTATCTCTTTATTGTATAAGCCACAAATGGACTAATGTTAGCAGTACAATTAAAAAAACAAAAATTGCCTGGATGTACCTAGAATTATTCTTACTTTAATATATATCTCATTAACACTCTCAACTTTCTCTATGGTTCATATATCCATACTCAAAACTGAAATGCGGTGCCTTATTATATTCCACATTTATTAATAACACATTGCATTATGCTAATAAAATAACAAACTGAGAAAAATTTCAACTATCACTCACATTAACCTTCATCCTCCTCCTGTTCCGAAGCAATCATAGAGCTCATGTCCATGAAATATGCTAAATCATCTCTACTGCCTTCATTCTGAGGAGTATAGAACAAAGATGAGAAAAATATTCATAACTAATTGCCATTAATCTTTATTTTCCATATTTCATTTAATCAGGTAGTTATATTTTCTCTTTCCCTCAGTATTTTTTATTTTGTTACAAGTGAAATTTCAATCTTTACTTGGAGGCAGAACAACTAAACTACATATGCATTTCTAGCCAATCTGGGTCAAATAGGTAACTCTCACCCATTTTTTTGTGGGCATCAGTGTTTCCAATGTGTATAAATATTATCTTTTGTCTCACAAAATCCCAATATGGACAATGCTTCATCTTATTTTTCCTTATATATTTATTTTTGTTTGCTTAATGCTTCCACCATCACAAGATCCTTTAATAATAACAAATGTAAGTCTATGAAATCAATACACGAATATACATTTTTACATTCCTGACATTTATCTATTGAAATAATTTCACACAGGGAACTGATGACTTATGTTCTGTGTTGGACCTCAGAGTTTCAGATATGTTTTCACTGTTCAGCACTCTTCTTTTCATGATCATCACTTGCCCATGACCGAGCCCCCTTTTTGCTGTTTATTTCTATTTGTTCATTGACTAATCTATTTATTCACTAATCATTCTCCCAGCAGTGTACTCATTTTAAATTTTTATCATTCACTAATATTTTTATATTGAATATATGTTGATTTATTGGAGTATAATGGGTCTACAATATTGTGTTAGTTTCAACTGTATGGCAAAGTGAATCAACGATATGTATCTATACACTGCCTCTTTTTTTAATTTCCGTCTGATGTAGGTCAGAGAGCATTGAGTGGAGTTTGCTGTGCTATACGGTAAGTTCTCATTATTTATTTTATATGTAGCACCAGTAGAGTATATATGTCAGTCCCAATAAATAGTATGCTGTTATTCATCTATGAGTTAATCAATTCATGTTTCATAAGATTCTATATTTATCACCGAGTTGCATTGTCCTTCAGTTATTTTATATGGAAATTTCAAATAATTCACTGTATACCCAGAGGAAAAAAATCACTGAAACTATGATGAGAAATCTGACCATTGCTGACATTAGACTCTGTGCTTCTGACACAGAGGTACAATCATAAGGTTCCTTACAAGAGACTAAAAGTGTGGGTGTGTCCATTTTGAACAATATAAAGCATGATCAATGAGAAGAAAAGAAAAAAATTTATCACCACTGACTCTTCATGTACTTTTCACTTAACCATTCATTTAGGAATTTATAACTTTTTTAAAATGCAGACATTGTTTCTTCTTAACAGAAAGAATAACTTTAAATGTGAGATTGACTCAGAACAATAAAGTTAACTCTGAATAGTTCAGGTCTATCTGATACTTAGCCAGAGAGGTGACACCGTTGAACCATCCATTTCAAAATTGATATCAGTGTTGGCAGTTTGTATTAATATCTCTTGCTTCATCATATATGTTCATAATTAGATAATAATTCACTGTTTTCATTCATCTATTATCTATATATCTTTAATGGTGCTTTCATTGATTATAATAATAATTTTTAAACTCACTCTAAGAACTTGAACTTTGTACATTCTTAACACCTATGCACAGGAAGAAATAAAGAAAAAGAGTATGGGTTTTGTTGGAGCTCAGAGTACCAGACTCTTCTTTACATCATCCACGGTCAGGCTAACATCATCACTGGTTCATTTGGGCCCACTTTTAGCTCATTTATACCTATATTCATATCAATTAAATCATGACTTCACTGATAATAACAAAATAAATATTTTAGTAACAAAAACCAAAGAGCAAGCCATTAAACATCCCTGACTCTTCTTTAATTAATACCAAAATAGACTGTACCATTCATTAATAAATATCAGTGTTATATTTTATCAACTAATCAACATCTGGTCTCAAGTCATATTTATCACTGGGACATAGTTAACCTTTTGCTTATATTTACTACTTTCAAAGAATATTATGAAAACACTTAAACAGCACAAACCAAGATGAAAATTTTGAGCAGTACTCACCTTGATCTTTACTGAAAATGATATTGATCACAGTAGAGGCTGAAATCACCTTGAGCTTCTGTTCTGAAAAGTATCAAACAAAGAAGGTGATAACAGAGATTGAAACTTTCTCTCCATTGATCTGCAGACTTGTTTATCGATGCTTTCATTGGTTCAATTATCATGACCAATGAAAATGTTTGAATAGAAAGACACTGCTTTTCTATTGGATCTCAGAGTTTCAGACACGTATTATTCATACCAATGACTCATACGCCGGCATTAATCATCACTGATCCAGAAAAGAAGACTGGCTCCTCATTCTGTATTGTTAATTGATTAATTCATCGATTCACTAATTACAATTTATAACTCTATGATTCAGAAAACGCAACAGAAGACTTGAAACTGCCAATACTCACATTTCTAGAAAAATACACCATTATATATCTTTCTCACCCATGATCAGTTTTCACATAGGCAATAATCAGTATAATGCTTCATACTAATCACTTTATTCTCAACAGGATTAAAATGACCCTCTTTAATCATACTTCAAATATATTAATAATACAGCAAAAACATTAGACAAGCCATTCAACCCAAGACCACAAATTTGATTATGCTCACATGGGTCTCTGGTTCCAACAACAAAGATGCCATCCTAAGCAGGCGCTCCATGAAGAATCCTTCCTTCAGGTCTCATGCTCCCACTCGGAGGAATACAAAGCAAAACAGACCATCAAGATGGTGGAGACAGTCTCCACTGCTCCTAGCTTCCACATTCACAGTATTATTCAGGACGTCCTTAACCTAGGATACACACGCTATCTGTCAAAAACTAACCACTGGGATCTCACCACCATGCCAGAATCTGAAGAATGTCTTTCACTTAAATCCTGTCACCCTCATCCTTTCCCTAAGCAGTATCGGTCATGTACCATTCATTATTAATTGAACTTCAGGGTTTCCATGGTACAGTAATAATACTTCTTGTCTCACTACATATTTTGATAATTAGACAGTGTTTTACTCCATTCATCTTTATTTTTAATTAAATGTTTATTTATAGATTCTCATATTATCCAATTATATGGATATATGCAGCCTGACATGCTACAGTCCATGGGTCACAAAGAGTCGGACATGGCTAATCAACTGAACTGAACTAACTGAACTGATATTCATACTCAACACTGAGATAACAGCTGCCTTCTTTACTTACATCCCACATTCCTAATAATACTGTGAATCACCTTAATGAAAAAACAAACTGGAAAAAAGAACAACTATTACTCACATTAATCTCCATCATCCTATTATACAGAGACAACTACAGAGCTTGTGTCCATGGAAGATGTCAAATCATTCTACTGCATTCATTCTGGGAAGTACAGAAAATGCAATACAATAAAAATATTGAGAACTAAATTTACTCAATATTTAGGTATTTATAATTTTCTCTTATTCTCTCAATTTTTTTTGTCTCATTAAAAGAAAAAATGCAATAATGAAACTGCCTCTTATTTCTGCATTTCTATCTAATTTTGGTCAAATAAGTGACCCTCAGAAAATGTGTTCAATTTCAACCATGCTTCACCCTATATTTTCCTTATACATTAATTTATATTTACTTAATGGTTCCATCACAGATCCACTAATATATAACAACAAATCTAAGTCCAGAAAATCAATACAAGAATATGGTCTTTGAATAATCCAGACCTCTCTCTAGAAAAGCAGTTTTGGAAAGGGAGGAGACTCCAGGGGTTCTGGGTTGGACCTCAGAGTTTCAGACATGTTTTCATCGTTCAGGACTCTACCCGAAACGATCATCATCATTGGTCCGTGACTTAGTCTCTTCTCTTCATTCATTTCTATGTTTCTACTGATTAAATCATCAGTTAATTGTTATTAATGAAAATAATATATGATTCAGTAAATCTCCTAGGAATAAGACCTTCATATTCATAATCTCAGTTTACAGAATATTTTCTCATTTAGAGGCTTTCTCCTGCTTTGTTCAACCTCAATCCTGCACACTATTTATTAATTAAAACAATGTTTCTTATCATATTTACCACTGAACTATGGGCAACATTTTTGTTAATTTCATACTTTTTAATAATACCATGAGCACCCTCAAACAAAACACCCAAGTCAAGAGTCTGGCCCCTCATTTACCTTAGGGTTTTCCTGACACAGAGACAGCCGATGACTGAACACGGTGAAGGCTGAAGCAGCAGGAACACCCCTTCTGAAGAATAACAACCAGACAAGGGGATAAAAATATTCAGATATTCTCCCCATTGATCCAATAATCTGCGATTCATTTGCACAGTTACTTAGTCATTTACTAAATGATGATAATATCGACTTCTTTTTCCCTTAATGAATCTAATGTCAAATCGATTACTGACTCAGTCAGTAACTATTACCTATCATTTTCCACATCACTCGTAACCAAAGAGATAACATCTTTCTAGGACTTTTTTACCTAATGGATATCAGTCTTTTCAATATATATTAATGTATTAGTCTATGTTGGTATTATTTCCCAAAACCACATATAGTTATCATTATTTATTTTATAAATTTGCAACTAACTATTTCATTCATCAAATAATAAAAATAGAAAACAAAATGCATGGTCATAATAACCAAAACAAATATCTTTTTATATTCATAACCTTTGACTATAGGATCACTTCAAACAACACAATGGAATAGATCCCATTTACACTGGATCTCAGAGTTCCAGACATGTATTCATCATACATGACTCATACGCCACGGGTAGTCATCATTGATCCAATATTGACCCTCTTTTTCTACATACATTTCTATTTCTTTATTGTATAAATCATAAATTCACTAATAATTTTAGCAGTGCAATTAAAAACACAGGAGCTTTGGTGTATACAGAATTAC